ATACTTAATTCGTTACTGGTGCCCAGGGTGCTCCAAAAGATATAATGAACATAATCGTCGGTCGGTATGTTCTAATATTTGTTTAAAACACTTTTTTACGGATTTGTATAGTTTTCTTAGAGCTATGATTAAATATAATAAATGTATAAAAATATTACAATTAATAAGAGCTCTAATTTGATCGCATATTGGAACGACAACATCTTAAATAAAGTATATATATTGGTATAATGTATTATAATATAAAGTAAGTATATGTGTGTATGTTATATATATATATATATATATGTGTGTGTGTGTGTGTATTTGTATGTATTTATATTGTTTTGTATCTTGTAATATGTATATATTATTATATGTAATGTTTACTGTATGCACTAGGTTTGTGTTCCTAATTCTTCTTTCCTTTTGCGGGCCTACTGGAAGAGATTTCAGCATGAAATAAGTAGTGCCCTTGTACTCTGTATCCTTATTGACGTGTCTTTTCTAACAGCTGTGTGTACAAAATATATTAAATAAAAATAAAATAAATAAGACAATTTAATAAATTTAAATCATGGTTTGTAGTTGAATTTAATGGCTATAGTGTCGAAAATCAACGGGTATTAATTTAGGAAAGTAGTTAAAATTTTGTACTGACCCGATCTCTGTCAAGATTACTATAAAATGTTTGCGTTTTACCATTTTAAGGAGAAACTATAGTTTACAGGTTCTCGTTGCGTATGGATGAAATGAAATAGTTCGTGTGGTTATTGATTTTTTCTTTACCAACTTCATTAAGTGTTGAAGCTAATCTGAGGAAATGGTAAAGCAATTTAAAAATCATTTAAATTAACTTTTAGTTTCTTTTTTGGATCTTCCTCAGTGGCATTGTATAGCTAAAGCGTTAAAATGTAATCAGAAGTGCTCATAAAATTTCATAAGATCAATTGAAAATGAAGGTAACCTCGCTTTGTTACGTTGGGTACTTAAAATATTTATAAACGTGCAAAAGCTTTCCATTTAATGTTCGTCTTCCAATGCTTGCTAATAGATTTTCGAAGTCGTCATGTTACTAAAGGATAAAAACGCCCGGAACATTCGTATCGAGTGTTGCGACTGTACTGCGGTGTTCGAATACCGGCGGGCAGGTAAATTTTTTCCTAATTAAATATGTACTAAACCAATCTTCACGAATTACTAAATTAAGTCGTCGTGGCCTAATGGATAAGACGTCCGGTGCATTCGTGTTGAGCGATGCACCGGTGTTCGAATCTCAGGCGGGTATCAATTTTTCTAATGAAATACGTACTCAACAAATGTTCACGATTGACTTCCACGGTGAAGGAATAACATCGTGTAATAAAAAATGAAACCAGCAAAATTATAATTTGCGTAATTACTGGTGGTAGGACCTCTTGTGAGTCCGCGCGGGTGGGTACCACCACCCTGCCTATTTCTGCCGTGAAGCAGTAATGCGTTTCGGTTTGAAGGGTGGGGCAGCCGTTGTAACTATACTTGGGACCTTAGAACTTATTCTCAAGGTGGGTGGCGCATTTACGTTGTGGATGTCTATGGGCTCCAGTAACCGCTTAACACCAGGTAGGCTGTGAGCTCGTCCACCCATCTAAGCAATAAAAAAAATACTTGCTCGTATTAACATCATGCATTAAAATCACACCCGCAAAAACTTGCGTAATTGCTGGAGGTAGGCCGTATAGTTAGCCCGCACGGATAGGTACCATCAGCCTGCCTATTTCTGCCGTGAAGGTAATGCGTTTCGGTATTAATGTGGTTAATGTCTATGGGCTCTGGTGACCATTTGACACCAGGTTGCCCACGGGCTGGTATAGCAGTCGTAGCCTAAAAATATAATGTAATGTAAAAAAAATACAAGGCTCCTACGCTGTTAAAAGTTTATAATGTGTTTTTTAGAATATAAAAAAAACATTTCCGACATTGATACAAAGTATCTAAGGTTAGCAGCGGAGAGGTTAATGAGAATGAGACTCATTTCGCATCCCGCCTCGTGGGCCGATGTGGGGCGAGTAATAAAGTTTTACGCTACGACCCTTATTACCCACCGCTCCCGACATTCGCCGTGCTCTTCGCCAGACAAGGTGATTAACAATACGTAAATTGATTCTCTTGCCAGATTTAATTGCATTGTTTACAAGTTAAAAAAAAAGACATTCTAAATAATATATTACATATAGGTTGATTTTAGGGTATAGAGTTTATAGCGTATTAAGTAGTAACCGGAGTCCGTAGGCATGGCACCTATAATTTGAGAAATGAGATTAACCTCTTGCTTTCGAATATGGGCTAAATTTATTTTTAGTCGGAACACGTGATTGCTTTGTAAGTTACCAAAATAGTGACATTTACTTGAGGGTTTAGAACGCTCTACCACTGAAAACGAAATTTGGGCAATTAGTTGAATTCTTTTTTTTAAGAAAATCATTTAGGTTACAATCAGAGCTGTGTCTCGAACAGACGTATCGGCAAGGGGATGTCGGTTCATTAGGTCTTGCAAGCTAAAGAGTTACGTTGGTTTCCCCGCTGCGTCAGCGGCCGCCCCTCGTTACCCTAATGATAACGATTCTGTTCCACCGAAGGCGCACTTTTAGTTCTGTAGAATCGTTTACTGTTACCCTTCGTTAATGGCCTAATGTTTCGGGCTACTTCACGTTTATTTTCTTACTCAATCACTTCTATCTGGGGATAGGCAATAAACATTTATGTTCGATCTCAAAGTGATTAACGTATTTCGATTAAATTATACGCATTTTGCTGCTATTTCAATATAACGATCATTTATCAATAAATATATGTCATGTATTTTAATTATTTTCGTTCGAAGATATTTCGCGTTTCACAAATCATTCGTCAGGTATGCATACCCTTTCCAAATTACGTTTATTTCTAGCTAAAAAACGACAATGTAACTGAATAAATTAAATCTTCTGACCCAAGACGGTATCATTCTAAGCAAATTAATTTGTACCTTTTTGTAAGCTTTGGTTTAATTTATACATAATGATGATTATGTACTTTGGAGTGAATAATTAGTGATGTACCGAACGCATAGATAAGACTATACTGCCTATTCCTGTTGCTTAGCAGACTTTTTGCCCGATTGAAAGATAGAGGAGGATACAATATAATTGATAATTCTTCCTATTCCTTCAAGTTCTCGTCTCCTTGGATTCCGGTAGGACTAGGAGGCTGTGAGTACGTCTCCTAATTAAGACCAATAGGCTTTAGTAATGTAAGCGTTGCTTATGAAATCCAAAATGCCATTTTTTTTAAAAAGACACGTTTGTAATACCATTCTTAAAATTTAATGAATCAGGAAGTTCTTTTCAGCAATATGTAACAAATTCGGATTTTTTCCTTCATGAAAAATTTGAAAATAAATCTATTATACATGGTGCTCTTATACTTTTGTTATATTATATTATACAGTAAAATTTGGATTTCAAAAGCAATTACTCGAAAAAAATTAATGATGAAAGTAATTATTCATGAACAGCACAAAATGCTTTGAAGGCGTTTTTGTTTTCTTTAAAAGAATGTCTCTAAAACCAAAAAGACTATATCGATTTTTTACATTAATTGTTAGATAGAGCATTTCGCCTGTGTCCAAGTTTGATATTGTATTTGTGGGACACAAATGTGTGTGTGTTTTCTTAGGCAGCGGCTTGGCTCTGCCCCTGGCATTGCTGAAGTCCATGGGCAACGGTAACCACTCACCATCAGGTGGGCCGTATGCTCGTCTGCCTACAAGGACAATAAAAAAAAACCCTATGTATGTACATGGTATATGTATGCTTGAGAATCATTAGGTAGTTTTGTAAGAGCTTTTCCTTTTTATTCGCTTTAGTGCGAGCGCCGTCATTTCCTGACTATGATTTATCTTGCGGCCTCTGAGTTGAGGGTCACTTTAATAAATGTATTCGGGAAAGGTGCTCCCAGAAATGGATGGGGAATGTTCTGGATGCAATAACCTAATATACAGAAGATATACGTCTGCTTGGCAGAATGAAGAAATATTAATTTATCTTTTTGAGGGGGAAAATAAATAAAATGTGTTACAATGAAGAGCGGACTTTATAGAGTTAAATATAAAATATAGTGGATACTTTAAACACAATGTGGAATGTATGATTCGTTTGTTTGTTGTTTCATTGTGTTGATCAGTTTTTAAAATAAATGTTTAACGCTATATTATAATTATATTTTTAGTTTGTCGTTTTATACAAACTAAAAACATTATTCAGGTATATAAGACGTAATCTGTTTCCATTAAGCATCAAAAAGAGTAGTAGTGCTTTCTTGCAAACGCAGAAAAGTTAGAAGAACAAATGCCTTTTAAAAATAAAAAGAGTTCGCGAAATAACCTATTATAAAAACACTGTGTAAATAAAATTTCATGCAAAGTTTAAATAACCCAAATTAAAGAGCACAACAAATAGGACACTTCAAAAGCCTTGCCGGAGTTATTCATGAGAATGCTGGTCGAAATTTTTGGGATAAGATGTTAAAAAGCATAAAGAGTTAAAAGAAAAATAAAACTGCTCGGGATTTAAAGCTTTTGTTCCTATTACATAATTACATAATGAACAACAATATTTTGTACAAACTTGAATATCTTAACGTTCTCGAATATATTGGTATGATCAATGTATGTGTACCGGCGAAAATTAATGTAAATACAATAAAAATAATTTAAGAATGAAATCATAATTTATAACGGAATAGATCCAACAGGGAGCAATCTCTGCCTCAGTGACTGAAAAATATATCGCATACTTACAAATACTCGTCCTCAAAATAACATATTAGGGAGTGCCGAGTATGACATAAATAGTGGCGGTGTGGAAGTCAGTTGACTATATAAAAATGAGGTTGTGAGGGATGTAACGATGGAGGCAGAGCGCCGGCGCCGAAGTTCGCTCAGTCGGATTCATACAGAACGTCGGCAGACTCGACGGCGCCGCAAGTGTCAGTGAGCGCAGTCTTCGTAGTCGCTCCGCGCCGCGCTGTCCCACGTTCCTTACGAAGATTACACATTTTTCGGGGTTCCTTGCCGTACATTATACAAATAATCCGTTACCTGTTTTCAGTTGTGCGCTGTGTGACGTAAATAATCCCGGAATGAAGGACAGTAAAGTTATAGTACAATTAAATTAGGTGTTTGTGTTTGTGTGAAGTAATTTGGAAATATGTTATGGATGAATGGAAGATTAACAAGCAGTGTCATGATTTGGAGCAATATGCGACATGCAAATAATTTTCAGTATCATATTTTACTGAATCCGGCATAAAACTGACCTGAGTGGAAAATTTTAAGATGGCCTTGTCGCTAAAAATATTTTTATTCATCGCTATTATTTCGATGGTTAATGTAACAAATACTGTTTCAACCTTTTTGGAACCATGGGAATGTTCTGATAAATACACGTCGTGCGACAAGTGTTCTTTTACCATAACTTTAACGGAGACAGCAGTAGGGCACAATCATGTATTAGTTTGTTGCACTGGAACAGGAGAACAAGATTGGATTCAAAAGCTCACGAATAAAACCTACGTAGAAGTAGATATACACCTTGATCTTATTATGTGCAATGTGAGCAACATTGATTTCATGGTACCTAAATTTGATACGTTTTCGATAGCTATAAGAAATAACAATATAGCAAATATAAATTTAGACATGGAAAATAAAAATTTACAAAGTATTGATATGTCTTCAAATACATTAAAATTTATTACCAAAGGCTTGTTTAATAAATTTTCAAACCTTCGAAAATTAATATTGAGTCAAAACAGTATCATTGATATATTTGATGGGAGTTTTGATGGGCTATCGAAATTGGAATCTCTGGACCTATCTGAAAACAAATTAACGATATTAACAAATGTTTTTACGGCACTGAAAAATCTCCAACATTTAAATTTAAGTAGGAACAACATTGAATTTATTCACGAAAATTATTTCAACAACTGGTTGCTGCAACATTTGGATGTTTCACACAACAATTTAAAAAAAGTGGCACCAGGAGCTCTACAGCTTTTGCCAAACTTAGCACGACTTTTGCTGACAGATAATCCGCATTTAGGCATTACGCAACTAGACACACAACTATTGGTTGGCACTGGCCGTAGATTGCAGCAAATAGATGCGTCAAGGATCGGCCTGTACCAGGTTCCAGAAGCGTTTACACACTCTGTTCGTTTCCTGTCGCTAGTCGGAAATAGAATATCCGCAGTGAGATGTGGAGATCTTGATAGCTACCCGTTACTACAATCGCTTGATTTTTCGAATAATAAAATAATGTTAATCGAAGATGATTCACTTGGTCGTTTGGAAATGCTATTATTTTTGAATTTAAATAAAAACTTATTAACGGCCATACCAAGATCATTGCCGGATGAACTGAAATATTTTTCTTTGAACAATAACTTGGTAAAGAATCTTTCCATTCCTGATTTCAAAGGGTTACCAAACTTGCGCATAGTTCTGTTACAAAATAATAACATCAAATTAATTGAAGATCATGTTTTTGATGATCTGTTGTCTCTCGAAATCTTGGACATTTCTAATAACCCAATACAAACATTATCGTCGAGTTCATTTGACGGCCCCCTATCTCTAAGGGATTTAAGACTATGCTATTTAAATCTATCTTTACCGGTACAAGATGGCACTTTTCCGATTTCTTCCCCAGAAAATGTACAGATGCTTCATTTACAGTCTAGTCCAGGATTAGCTAAACTTTTCCTGGCAGATTCAGCCGCCTTAGCCGCATTTTCACATTTACAATATTTAGACTTAAGAATGAATGATTTGCCAGAAATCAGAAAGGATTTATTGTTTTATTTAAGCCAATTGAAAACTTTAAGATTGCACGGTAATAAAATAAATTGCAATACTGAATTATGGCTCAAAGATTGGATGAATTGGAATAATACTTTGGCTGCAGAAGAGACATGCTACTACTCAAGTACGGAAGCGAAAACTGAAGTAACAAAGTTCAACTGCACATTCCCTGAAACATTCACAATCAGCGATAGCTTACCGCCAGTTAATTTATATAGCACTGAAATGATTAACAAGCTATTAAGATATTATGGATATTTAAACAATAAAACTGAAAGAACTAATAAACGTGGAAACCATCGACATAAAGAGAATGGCAAACAAGTTTTTGACAATCAGATAAACAATATTCCGAACACAATTGAAACTACTAAAGATTTAACTAGCTCCGAAAATCTTTTTAATAAATCTCAAGATGAAAACTTACAGCTGATCCAATATTCGAAACACGAATCATATAAATCGAAAAGTATCTTCAGGAAAAAAGATGATTCCATGGAGATATCCAAAAAAGGTGGATTGAGTAAAAGTTTAAATACTGCAATTAATGTATCTAAGAAGATTTTTGTTAATAGTTCTCAAATAAACATAACCAAGAAAAATGGAATTTCTAAAATGGTTGGTTCTAAAATTGGAGATAGGGTTTTGAACGAAAGTACATCAAGTCAAAACCTGAAGACGGAATACTCACCATACCAACTTAATCACCATCAATACGCTCAATATATTGGCATGTCCGCAGTATTCACCTTGATAATAATAGCTGTAATTATATGGGCGAGTTTTCGATTTAGGCAGAGACGGCGAGTTCCAGTCGTCAGCCCACAAAACGACGACCAAATAGAAGTATCAAACATTTCCGGCAGAGTGCTGTGGTGACATTTACGAGCAGTCGACCCGACACCTTTCGAATATGATTCTCTTCTGACGTAGCATTAATGTAAGTATAAGCCTGTTGTAGCCTTATGATATTAATCATTGTATTATTGTATACTGGTAGCAGACAATGCAACGAGCCAGCATGCGCTGATAAAGCCCATCTGTCTTGTCTCGCTTACATTTGAGATGAAAAATAGGCGATATGAGAGAAAATATCTATTTGTGCTACCAGGCAATCATACCTTCCAGTTTGAAGGCTGGGGCAGTAGTTGTACAATAAAGTGGAAACTTCGACTCTGAAGTTAGGTAGCCAAATTCACATTATGATGCCAATGAACACCCTTAATCACTTAAATTCCAGGTGAGCTATTCGTCAGCCCATACAAAGGAATAAAATAAAAATAAAAATATAGTTGAAACGGTTTTTCCGAATTCTGTTTACTGGTAGTTGGTCTACATAGCTTGTTGCTGCAGTGCATTAATTCTGTGCTACGTTATCAATGCAATAAAAAAAGTTTAACGTAGTGTTCTTTCATAATACTGTCACTTTGCGTGGAAATGTTACTTTCGATTTTAGTATTGATATTAAATTATTGGTGAATTTTTTAATTCGTAACATATCATTGGTCGCCTACATAAATTTAGATTGTATCATAATTATACCAATAAATAGCGAAGATATTTTTGTTCCAGTTCGAAACGGGCGACTGCGAGTAATATAGCTACGTTTGTGATAGACGTGGTAAATATTTTTCTAACAAATAAGTACGAGTACAAATAGAAAGGTCAGCCGAGAAAAAAATGTTCAGCTGAGTACTTTGTAAATATTAAAAACATATTTGTTCAATCATATAGGGATTTATTTTTGTGTAAAATCTTGGTAGAGTTGTTACGATAGATTTATTTAGTGTGCATATTATGTACATAAGTTGAAATACGACGCTTTGGTGTACAAAAATGCTTCAAAAATGAACGATGTAATAAGTTCAGTAATTAGCGTGTTAGTTAACACGGAAAATTGATCTACCATATATGTATTGTATGCATCAATTAATGATTTCACAAATACAAACGAGTGATATTGTTGACTAACGCAATATGCAATGTGAATGTGTAAAAACTTTACTAAAAAGTCATGTCTTCCCTAATTATCCTTTATAGCTGTGAATAATAATTAACTCTTTACTTATAAGTGCCAAAAGTTCATCAGCCTTTCGTACGGTATATACGTTATATATTTCGTATTTTATTTGTATCTTGAAAAACTACGCAGTTTCTAAATGTAAATAACAATGTAAAGTATTTTTATAGTAGAGTGAAATTTAAATACATGGTGTGACATTCATTATTCCTCTTGGTTAACGAATTTTGTTTTTCAAATGAATTTTAAAATGCAGTGGCCGAACATAGTGGTATCACTTGTAAATACTATTTATTAATACATAATGTGAGGTATTACATGCATACATAGTGTATCTAATTTAAAGTGTTGCTAAGAAACTGGCCATGTTTAGAAGTTTAATGGAAAAATTCAAGCACTTACAAAATTTCATTACTTTGTCTGGAACTTATGGTTGTAACTTGATGTGTATAAATTTTTCTGAGAATTATGTATAGATTAACGTTTTTTACGTGACAGTAGTTTCATATGTTATATTATAAAACCGAATAGCCAAAGATTAATAAACAATAGAAATTAAATGTGAGTTTTTTTTCATGTCGTACATTCCAACTTGATAGTTAATTAATCTTGTTTTAAATTTAAGGATTGCTTATTAGAATTTGTATGAACAGAAAATAAAGGCCGTTTTTCGCTGTTATTTATCTATAGAATGCTTGAATAATTTTTGTAAAGGGTCAAGAAGAAACTTCGGATATAGAATTTAATTTATAATACGGATTATCCTCATATTATATTATCGTGTTCCTTGTATTTTAGAAAATAATAAAATTGATAGAATAGAATAGAATATTCACGTTCTATGGGTTCTGGTAAACCGCTTAACACCAAACAACTGTGCAACAATAAGATAAAAACAAAAGCAAATTAATATTTTAAAAGTAACTTAAAGTAGGTACTTCAAAAGTTACAAATACAATGTTAGCTCATTCCACTAGCTCTTCAAAAGCTACACGTAAGTCAATTTACAAGTATTTAATTGCGTGGCGGTCTAATTTTGGTTTCTATTTCGCATAGTCAAATGGTCGCCGACGCGAAGTTATGATGCTGTAAAACCTAACCTACATTCATACGAGATACGATGCGTGAAAACGTTAACAAGGTTATTTCGGATTGTTTACAGTGAAATGTAAACAGCCCCTTAGCTATTATGAGTCGTTGGTGCACAAGACAAACATTCTTGGAGCGGCGTTTGTGTCTCGTTTAAATATTGATATTGGGGCGCACTCCCACCCCTCAGTCATTCAATCTAGGGTAGCGGCTTAGAAATAATCATTCAATTATTTTAATAATTCCGGAATATTAAATACGATCCGTGAAATTGGGATGTTAAATTAATTTTATTGAAAAGTTCGAATTTGAAATAAAGCTACGCAATTTTATATTGTGCTTTTATAAGTATAGGTTGTAATTGTTGTAGAAATTAAAATAAAATATATATAGTCATTTGATAGATATGTTATATGTATAGAACACTTTTTGGTCTTAATATTTGTGTAATTGTTTAGATAGAGTAGTGTATTAAAAAAGTAGACCGACTGATTTATTACAATTTTTGTTATTTTCAATGTTAAGTATATTTTAATATGGTAAATTAATAGATGAAATTACTATTCGCAGTGTGATGGGCGGTATAATCCAATAACCGCCATCGTCGACCTGAAGTTGAAATCCCTATTGAATTAAGACAACTGGTTTCTTATTCTTTAAACGGGAATGTGTCTTTTTTTCGCAGCAGAAATAATACCGTATTTTCAATCTGTTCTAGTACCAATGCTTGTGACAACCGTTAGGCTACAGCTACAGCTACAGGCTACAGCTAAGACGTTTAATTTTAAAGTGTTCGAGTAATTGACATTTCCTCTTAAAAATGTCTAAGTCCATTTTTCTTGTCAATCTATTGGGTGGACACAGGTTGAAGAAGAAAGTAGACAAGTATACGGCCCACCTGTTGGCGAATAGTTACTGTCGCTCATAGACATCAGCGATGCCGGGGGCACAGCCAAGCCGCTGTGTACCGCTCTTATCCGCGAACCTCATTTGAAACAAGACGTTTCGTACCAAAAGCTAGATGGTATGACGCAAAAAAGATCTCTGGAAGCGTACGGTGATTTGTCTTTTGGAAAGTATGCTGATGGCTGCCGTTTTGTGGTAAACAAAACTTTCTAAATTTTATACTACTTAACCCATTGTTTTTAAAGTTAATGCATTCATTAAAATTTGCATATATATTTATGGGTGGAAGTTTCTTCGTTATACACGATATTCTCACTACTTTGTACCGCTGCTTTTTAAAATAGTTTTTTTATTGCTCAGTACGAACTCACGACCTTACTGGTGTGAAGTTGTTATCAAACTATGTTGCTATACAACGTGAATATATCCGTCCATCTGAGACATGAGCTATAAGCCTCAAATGTTTTTCATAATGTCTTTCCCCACCATAAAACCAGAAAGCATGAAAGCCTTATTGTGGAAATAGGCAGAATCGTGATACCTACCCGTATGGCTTCATAACGTGTCCTAAAATCACAATACTTAGGCGATTGAAGGAACCGCTATAATCGTAGAAATAGCTTAAGCTTATTTTGAAGATGAAATGTTGTATTACTATTCTGATATTTCTAAATTATCATGAGGAATCAGAGCGCAGTTGCAATAGTTTTGAGATAATAGGGGAACTAATCTGCACACCCTGAAGGCGGCATAAACGGCCAGGATCGGGGTAGCTAAATCCGAACTCAAAATACATCATATCAGGTACCGTAAAATAAACGAATGTTTTAAGTATTTATCGGCGCTTAGATATCCGTGTAAATTTGTTTTAGTTTAATTGTTAGATACTGTAAATCATAATTGTAGAAGACAAAGGTCGTTAATCCTGAATGGTTTTAATTACCAACCCCTTTAATCCTGAACTCCAATAAAAGCATTTAATTAAAATGGTAGCCGTAAATACATCAACAAGGCACCGCGCCGTAGGAAGCCAGGACTGTGAGGTAAAATTTAATAAACACCGCAGCAAGTGATTGGGTTACACTGTAATTGAAGATGCTTTCAAATTTCACCAATAGGTTCATTATCGTTATGGCGCTTAATTTGTTTTGTTGAAATACTAGAAATATATTTACGCCGAAATCAAGCTATGGAAGTACCTATACCTGATGATAATTAGTTACCGCAATCCACGAAGACCGGAAACTATAGAGACATAGTCAAGACGTTACCTACTCTAGAACACTACAAGTAATTAACGTTACCACAAACATAATTAGTCTCAATGTCCATTTAACTGATTATTATCTCATTAAAATGATCTATTTTGAATAAGATCCAGATTTTTCTATTTAATTCATCCTAATAAATTCGGGATTCTTCAAAGAAGGTAAGATTGATCTTCAATACAAAACTGACACAGCATATTGGAGCCCGACGATAGCCCGGGCCGTTTCGCTTGTAAGGCAATGAATAATTCATACTCCTACTCCTAACTATAGTTGCGATTCATTCTTTTGTCCCAGAAGTTAGCCTACATAAATACATAATATAAATATTATATTAATGTCGATTCGATCCTAGAAACCATTGTTTCAGGTTGTTCCGTGAGTCAGCAGATAATTAAGATAAGAGAGAAGATTGTTAATTAAACATTCAGCGCCTTCTTTCAAACGAACATTGTATTTCGAGTATTTATCGGCGTAAATGTTTGAATTTGTATACAAATCTGATTCAAATATTTGAAGCTAATTAAAAAAGAAAATCTTGCTTTTAATATGCTTTTTTTTTTTTTTTTTTTTCAGGAGGAAATCACCGGACTTCCGCCCTCCACTGGGGATGGAGGGCGGGGCATGTCGTAGTTGAACCGACTAAAACCTCCTGTCGCTCAACAACCAGCATCCAAACCTCGTATGAGACAGAACTCATGAAAAGGCAAAGGGGGGAAAGTGAAGCGTTTAGTGCGGAGCACATCTCTCCCATCACCCTCTCCCTCGGGACGCCGGACTGGCGGTCGTCGGCGCCACGACCACCAGTCCTCTCGGTCGGCAGGCTATCCGAAGCCCGCCTAGATGGCGCCGGTTAGAATGGTCTACCCTCGGAATACCCCGCTGGCTCTGAACCAGCGTGGGTTGAGGATAGCCGGCCTTCCATCACCCGGACGCTCTTGCATAAAACGCGTGCAGAGCAGCTTGCACGTCATCTTCTTAGGTCCCCTTCGCCGGTCCCCAGGCCGACATGTGAGAGAGACCCGAAACACTTAGAGGGCCAGGGCTTGGGCGAAATCCGCCTCCCTGGCCCCCGCTCGACGGCGGCGGGCCTGCGCGTCTCGCTCGCGCCCCGCCGCCTCCTTCTGCGAGATGGTGCACTCGCAGAAGTCGAGCATCGCCTTCCACGACTCGTCGTCACCGAGCATTGATGCCACAACACTCGGCAACGACAAGTCGTTTCCTATTTTTGCGACAAGGACACGGCACCACCCCTCCCATGCGGGGCAGGCGACGAGCGTGTGCTCCGCCGTGTCCAAGTCGCAACCACAATGGTGGCACTCTGCCGTCAGCTCGGCTCCGATCCGGTGCAGGAACTCACCGAAGCAACCATGCCCAGTGAGCACCTGCGTGAGCCGGACAGTGAGGCGTCCTCTGTCACGATTCACCCAATTCACAAGAACCGGGCGAATCGCCTCGACGGTCCTACGACCAGCCGAAGGATGGGCCAGCCGTCTAGACCATGACTCCAGCTGCTTTTAATATGCTGTGCTATAATTTATTAAAAAACATACATTACAATTGCAGATACATTTAATAGACACAGATTCACATCTTATCAATAAATATTTAAATTAAAAACTATTTTGTATAGTTTGTGCATTGGAGTTATTCTTGTTTTTTTTTAAATTTCGTCTACGGAGAGAAGCTTATATATAAACCAGCAACACAATAAATTTTAAAATGAGTTACCCGGATGTTACTTAACGTCTAATGGACCCAAGTGCTTTTGTCTTTCCTACATAGTCCTTAGAATATTGTAGAAAGCATCAAAGTAACTATGTACCTGTTGTAGCGAAGTAGCTTCAGTAGATATAAATTATATTTATTAATTAGTAAATACGTAATTAATAATTAATTAGTAATCACCAGAGCAAAGAGCTAATTTCATTGTTTTTCACTAAGAGAAATAATTACTATTAGTTTCATAATGCTATTAGTTCAAATTTTTGTTCTTGAATTTTTATGAATTTCGGTAAATACTAAAAACTACGGTTAAGCCAAGTAGTTTAAATTTCGTCTGATGTTTTGTCCTGCAAAATTTTCGGTACAATCCGGCACGTATTTAAAATTGTAGCTTTTTGCATGTTAAAAAATATGTTTTTGGATAAATCTAATAGCTTGATAGAGTGGTAAAGGTACTTTGGTATGAGTCCAGTGCTGGTAAGCACCGGCGGCACAATATATTATACTTTATTATTATTATAGCTGAAGATATCATTTAGAACTTAGCTACAAT